ATACAGAATATTTTATGTAACATTTCGCAGTTTAAAGGGGTGGACAACAAAATCTAGAAGAAACAACTCAAGAACAAATATTCAAATTCTTACACTAGGGTAATTCAAGATTGTTTTCAAACATTTTCTTATATAATTACGAACTTAACATTTATATAATATTAAAGGTTGAGTTATTATTTATGGTTTGATGTCAAGTTTGTTCGTATATCATGGTAATTAAGTAGTTTAATTAAATGTTGAATGTAACTCACTAAAATGTTGTGACATGTGCAGTTTGACCAGCTTGTGTGCTAAGAGTTCATCCCACCTTCTCATCTGTTTACATCCGGCGCATCTTGTTTGAATCGTGGAAGGTGACAATCAACTGACTTCTCAAGTTTTATTTAGCTTGTACTTTGCTCTTAAATCCAAAATGACTGGTAAGCATACTGCAAGTGATTCTAGTGCCAGTAGTAAGCCAAAAAAAGCAATAAAAGCCATCTCAGCATCAACAAAACTGGAAATCATCAAAACGTTTTATGAAGGCCAGAGACTCACAGATCACCAAGGCATTCAAGTTCTCACCATCAACTACAGTAACTATCAAGAAAGAAAAAGTTATCCAAAATGCTAAGTCTTCGACACCCGCATCTTCTAAGTTACTAACTGGGCATTGCCCTAACATAATAGAAGAAATGGAACATCTGTTAGCTCTATGGGTGGATGGCATGAAGCAGCAGAAGGATTCACCGATGACTAACCTAGCTTTGCAGGAAAAGGCACTTTCATTACTTGAAGACCTGCAGAAAAAAGAACAAACCAGGACCTAGTACAAGTACTAAAGAAACTACAAATTTTACTGCAGGCTCGACAGGTTTAAAAAAAAGGCATAATCTACAAGCCTAGAGATGACCGGTGAAGCACCAAGTGCTGACAAGGAGGCAACAGCAACGTACCTACCAGTTCTAAAAAGTATTATCGAACAAGGAGGATATACGACCTGTCAAGTTTTCAACATTGACAAGACTGGTCTATATTGGAAGAAGATGCCAGACAGGACAGTCTCGTTAGGGGAAGAGAAGTCAGCACCAGGTTACAAAGCTTTCAAAGCCAGAGTTTCCTTAATTTTGAGAGGCAATGCAGAGGGTGGCTTGAAATCCCTTATGATTCACCATTCTGAGAATCCACTGGCACATAAAGGTATGTCAAGATAAATCTGCCAGTCATATGGAGGTCCAACAAGAAGACTTGGACAACAAGAACAGTTTTTAAGGATTGGTTTACCAACTTTTTCTGCCCTGCAATGGAGAAATTTTTCTATGAAAAATCTTTCCCATAAAGTACTGCTGCTTGTCAACAATACTCTGAGCCACCCTATCAACCTGACTTATCAAAAAATATTCATGTGGAGTTACTTCACTCAAACACCACTTTTTTATCCAACCCATGGATCAAGGGGTCATAGCTACTTTTAAAGCATATTACTTATGACGCATTTTCAGACAAATGATCAGGGCAGTGGACAGAAACACCTCAATCAGAGATTTCTGGAAATCGTTCAAAATCAAGGATGCCATAAATAACAGTCTTGGAAGGAAATTACCACTTCAAATATAAATAGAGTTTGAAGAAAACTGGCCGGAATGTGTGCAAGATTTTCAAGGCATCTCTAATACAGAACCTGTTGTTAAAGAAATCGTGTCATTAGCACATCAGGTTAGATTTACTGGAATTGAAGAGCAAGACATCAATGACTTACTGGCATCACACTATGAACAACTGACTAATGAAGAACAGGCTGTTGATAAAGGAACCAGAGCCACAATTGTTTTAAACATGGAAAATTCTTTCAGATTCATTGTCCCTATTTGATCAAGCTGTGGAAATCCTGACTAAAATGACCCAAATTGTGATTGAAGCCTTAAACTTGAATGCAATACTGAAAGTGCCCTAACCTGATATAAAGAACTTTATAATGAAAAAAAGTAAGCATTCTTCAGCCAACCAAAGTCTACATCACTGCTTCCTGCTGCATCTCTTCCTAGCCACAATGATGATGCTGACACTCCTGCTCCAGTAGTTTCTCCTGCCCAAGATGATGGCTGTAAAGCATATCCTTCTGCCCCAACATTTGTTGATGAACTACCATCAACACTGCCAAGATGTTGACTCACCTGCTCCAAGGGATCCTCTTGTTAGTCCTCCTGCAGTCCACAATGATGACTATGAAGCAGAAGTTCATTCTGCTCCTTCTCCTTCCAGCCAGTAACATCATACAATGCTTTCCAACCACACCATCACCTTATGTGTCAACCACTCCACTTTCTTGTACGTATGGTACTTAATTTGGAGTTGATAAATTTATAAATGGCATATATTCTTTGTTTACCCCAAAAACTATTCTTAAAATATGTTCACAGTCAGTTTATTATGTTTTGGCTAATTTTTTTTCCATTGAGAACGTATCTTAAATTATATAATGGTAGTCAATGGGAAAATCTACCTTGCTTTATAAAATTTCACTTTACAAAAGATTTTTCAGGAACATAACCCTTTCGTAAAGTGAGGTCCACCTGTACTTGTAAATATCAAAAACAATTATCGTGGTTGATAGTCTATGATATTTTTATATGATTATTTTATATATTCAGGAGTTTATATATTATTTTGCCTATGTTTGGACTACTAGTATGTCATGAGAGATGGTTCCAAAGAAAATTTGTTTTGTTTGTTTCTCCTTTGAAGATTTTACACTTATTAAATCAAACTAAAATACAACTAACATGGGTTTGGTTGAATTTCAATTCAACTAGGCTGACTTAGTAAGCTTAAGTATCATGGGAATAATTAACAGAATAGTTATTTTAAGGATTACAATAGGGCTGGGCAATTCATTCTATTAATCAAAATAATCAATAACCTATGAGCATAAATTACAATGATTAGTGTCAGGAAAATAACTGATTAATCAAATTACAATTAAATTGATTAATGTCACAAAAATAATAACCAACTAATCAAAATTATGTTTCTGATTATCATTGTTTGTGATTATACCAACAACCCAAGTTATTGAAATATTGCCATTATGATTTCTCATTATTATTTTTGATTAATTTAAGGTTCTTCAGCTTAACATGTTAAATGTTATGATGCCCGTCTCTACTGAGCTCTCACTTACCACAAAATTATGTATAATGAAACAATTTTGTTGTCCTGTGCCTTATCTCCAGATGAAAGAATATTAAAAAAAAACTGCAGGTGGCAACCAAAATAATATTAATCTACCTACATAGATCAAAATTAAAAATTAACCTGCCAAAGAGAATAGCTATTTAATTATTTTTCTTCTGTTATTATTAATGAAGATTAGAATGCATTGTTTCAGCAGTTGGGTATCCTCACTGTTAATATTTTTGGCTTTAAATCTAATAAACCTCACAAGGCTCAGCCACCTTAAGAAATTAAAGAGTAATCCTAAATCCATATAAAAACTAAAAATGCAAAATATTCTTTAAAGTATTAAAAAAACTGAAAACAATAAAACTAAGATAAAATGAACACTGTAACTATTATAGTTGTTACCTTCAAATACTGTCAGTAGATAGTTTTGAAATGATAACTATATGAAGATATGGTTGATATACAGTTAACTCTTTTGCAATCTGAAATACCAACTCCACACTCACAGTCTTAACTAATCACCTGAAATTTATTGTTAACAACTTTGCTCACTGTGAAATCCCTCTCAAATTACAGGCAGATTATGTAAGAGTTATATTAAATAGTTAATACATTTTTTCATCATTTCTGACCAGAATGGGTTATAACTAAGGATGCATGGGTTCCTGGCCAGATATTCAGCCTTGGCCGGGTACTGGGCTACCCAGTAATACTTGGCTCCAGCAAAGTGTAGAAGTTAGGCATCTAAGCCCTAATCTTTGTGACAACTAACATGCTACTGAAAGTTACAATCAATAATTGGTTTAGTTATAAAAAAAAAATGTGTTCTGAGCAACAAAAACTGACCACTCGCTGAAAGTCGGGGATTCAGAAAATGATAGGGGTTAATAACAGACATGGCTTGAATAGTGGATTTCTGTGGAAGGTGGGTTTTTTAAAACAATAGGGGCTAGGGTTTGAGAAGTTGGCTAGGCAATGAAAGTTGAAAGTAAAACTTGAATGTTCTGTTGGTGATTATTTGGTTAAATGTAATAAATGTAAAATTTGTTTTTGTTTCTAATTTTTGTATATGTTGTTTTGTTTTTTGTTTGGGGGGGGAGAACCTGGTCCCAGTCAAAGCTTAGTGACTGGGTACCCGGACCTGGTATTCGGACAGATTTTACTATTCATGCATCCCTAGTTATATCTAGTTATTTACTTCTTCTGCTACACTCACAAAAGGTTCACATGGTATTTCATTCACCTTTCTCTCCTATTACTAAATTATTACATATGTAATTTGCCAAAATCTTGAAAAGGTGCACCACAAATATTTATACTAGAATTCACAAACACTGTCCATAAGCAAATGTTAAGAATTTTACCTTACAATGAAGGTGCATAATGCACCTAGTCTGGTTTTAAATTATCTCTTTGTCAAAACCTACTTTATTCTTTTTTAAATAAGCAGTTCCCTGTAACTTGAAGAGTAATATGAACAATATTAAGTTTTAAAACACTTATCTGCTTTCACCATAACATTCAGTTCCAATTTTTAGCAATGTCTATGTGCCCTAGATGTACTTGAAAAATATTACAATTCTAATTTTTTTTTTAAAATCATACTGATGACATAAACATATATACATTGATTTTAAGTAAACAACTAGAACTTAAGTTTTCCATTTACCCTCAAAACACATTTCAATATATTTACTAAATTTCTAAATTCTTAAAATATATATAACATATAATTTGGTTCAAAAATGTATTTTTCTTTTAAGTCATAAGTTGTTTAAATTATATGCCACTTTTTATATTTTTACAACTGCTTAAATTTAAAAATAACTACCTACCTTGCAGAACCAAATAGATACAGAATCATTCGTTAAAATGGCAAAGAGTGAACGGTCTCTATTACAGCAGACAAATTTAGGATCATTTTCATCTGGCAGTGATACCTCTTCCGCATTTTGTCCCACTATATTGCGATGTTTAACGTTAGATTTTAATGAAAACTTTAACTCTTTGGGCCAACCAATAGGGAAATACATTATTATTATTATAACTGCAAATACTTATATTATAATACTAGTTACTACTCGCAAAAAACGACCTAAAATTTTGACGAAATTTTCGTTAGCCTTTATATTTTGAATAATTTTACATTACTAGTTAGGCTTAACTAGCGTCATCTTTGTCTTAAGCCTTTTCCAGTTTTTAATAAATGTCAACTGTACTATAGGCTGTAGCGTTAAAGTAATACGATGCCCATTCTCTGCTTATACTATTTACATACGTAAAATATCCCATTAAATAACTTCAGATGGTAGAAATATTAAATTCAAGTAATTGCTAAATTTAACAGATGACTGAAACCTGTTTTTACGTAAGTACATGATTCCACGTCACAAACGTTAAACTTTTAAGCAGGAAATTATTTGACAGCCCTTACTACACTTAAAACCTACGATAGAAAACAATCATGTAGCTAACGCCAGATGTCATATCATTCAGGGGTACAGGGGATAGTATGTAAATCACCATTTATTATCATTATTTGAGGTGATATTTTCTCATCCTTCATGTGAATAACACGAAATTGCAATTTAAAGTTAATTTGAAGTTCTGTAGTAAGTGATTGTATCGAAATGCTATCATTTTATATTACACTTAGACTGGCATTATGGAAAACTGTATTGTAACTTATAATCTTAATACATAGTCATATATATAGTTTTCAAATACATGGGAAAGAAAATACACTACAAACTGTGAAATTCTTAGTATTGGACTACTCTTAAACAATGTTGTTGTTGTTGTTTTTAAATAACTTTTAGATGGATTAAATGTAACTTAATAATGATTACAACGGTAAAATAACAATATTAAAACTACCCAGTTTTTATAATATTGTTGCGTCAGCGAGTCACATGACTACTGTGACGCCACG